TTTGCTTTCCCTATAACTTTATCTATTGGAACAATATCATCACAAAGTTCTATATTCTATACAATAGATATTCTAGATACATTGTTCCTCAGAATAAGAATTAAGAACCAATTCTTTGATCTCATGTGTGTTGATAAGAGAAAATTTTGCCATGGCACTAGTCCACCAAAGGCAACTTCTGTCTAATAATGAATAGAACAATATTTATGCTCAACAGGACACCATATGTTCCCACAATCAGAAAAGGATGGTTGATGTTTTATATTATTACCATCACCATCAAGCCCATGCATAATTTAGTAAACAGTCAAATTAATATGCTCTGCAGGCACAAATATTCAGGAAAATCAAATGCAGAGGGTTGAAATCTTTCTCGTGTGGTTATGCTCCGCAGTCAGATGAAACGTCTGATTTAACCTTTATGATATTGGAATGTGGGATTTAAACCCCTGTGCAATGAGATTACCAGACATGCTTTAACTTTAGGGTTACCAGTATGCAAGTATGATACATGACCAAGTGGACTACATTTATGTCATGACACATGGTCAACAAAGGTTAAAATTACATTAGTAATATCACAACTTAATGCCATTAGTAACAGTCATAGCATTACCTGTTGACAACAAATATAGCATCTCTTTCATAGGCTCTTTCTATGTGATGGATAATTCTGTTGCCCTTGGGTACTACTCTTAAAATAAATTTAATCTGAGCATTAAGGTTCTGTTGCCCTTGGGTACTACTCTTAAGATAAATTTAATCTGAGCATTACGAGTCCCTTTTCTTTGACTACAATTTATCCAGGATGACAGAAGATTACATTTTCTCTTGACTTTATCAGTGGAAATACAATGTCATGTAAGACAACCCACACATGAAATAACAGTGACAGAAGATTATACTGTCAGTTCTGGGTTTAAGTTTGATTCAATTGCAAAAGTTATTCAACACTGTAAAACAGAAAAGAATTAAATTTGAAACTAACTAATGTATTTTTAGGTAGAGATATTTTCTCCACATTAGATGTAATGGTTACACCACTATGCACATTTTGTGAAATCTGGATAATCCATTTGCATAGGTAACATTTTCATTTTGGTGCAAGATATCTTACATACTTGCTGCATTCACATGTTCTCAGAGCTGTATCATTTCATAATCTGTGAGACACAATAAAACCAGGTTATAAATATAATGCAGGTCATTTCTCTAAAATTTGGAAAGTGCTAAAATGCCATTGCACTGTGGTAATTTAATAAACTGTGATGCTCAACAGAAAAACATTAATAAACTGTGATGCTCAACAGAAAATTTTTTAAAGTATTTGGTTTCAATGTTAACTGAGGCAGAAGTTATTTTTACTGAGAATTCTCAGTTTCCTGTAGTCCTTCCACATAAATGGTGCACAATATCTTGATATAGGCTAGCTCCTCTCCCAATCCTTCCAATTTGAGTGTACATAAACATCATAATTTTATTGGTGTAATGCTTTTATTACCACATCTGACACATCATAAAATATTTTTTTATAATCTACAAAACAACAGATTACATATAATTTTCAAATGCATGTTTGTGACTCATTCAATGAAGGCACAAATACATTATTATAGATATAAAGCTACCATTGCAAGCTAATAACAATGCAGACAGCAGTGCACAGATTCAAAAATAATTTTCTTCGTATTTTGTTAAATATTCACCTTACTGAAAAGTATTTCATGTGAATGTTCTAGAGTTTAATGAAATCCATATTTGATTTTATGTACAGATTTTCTGTATGATCATTTGTTCTTGGGAATATTTATAAATTGTACTTAAGCATCATGTAAAATTGCAGTGGTACTGAACTGATATTAACCAAAAGTAAATTCACCTAACAACTTTAGCTTGGAACCCCAGCACCAAAGTGTATTGAAATCCATTCAATAGCTTCACATATGAGACAAGCATACAGACTCGACTTTCCCTATATGCATTCAGCGTGTGCAATGAATGTCTAAAAATTCCTATTTATGACACTAGAATGATGGCTCCAAAACTTGCAGAAGTAGTAGCACCTCCAAACATGAGTGGGTGAAAGTGAAAGCCCTTAAGTTGTAGGTTCTGACACAAATTTTAGGTTCTACTTTGTACCAGTTGTAGGTTCTGACACAAATTTTAGGTCCTACTTTGTACCATTATGAGCCAGGATAGCTCAGTCAGTATAGTGACTAGCTACAGGCTGGGCGATCGGGGTTCGATCCCCGATGGGGCAGAGGATTTTTCCTCTAGCCTCTGCGTCCAGACTGGCTCTGGGGCCCACCCAGCCTCCTGTCCAATGGGTACCGGGATCCTTTCCTGGGGGTAAAGCACGGCCGGGGCGTGATGCTGACCACTCACCCCCATCTGATACTAAAGTCAAGAAAAAGTAAGAGCTTTACCTCCCCCCTCCCCCCCAAGTGCCTGCACAGGCATGTAGCGGGGCACTTTACTTTTACTTTGTACCATTTCTAAAGTCCTATTGTCAGTAATTCTGTTTCTCAATGTACAGCAGGTTGACACAATGCCCAAATGCACAAAAAAAATACCTGGACTAGTTAAATTCAGTTCACTTTCTCTGGTAACACAAATATCATGTGTCCATAATTTGTCATGAGTTTTCCAAGCTTCGTTTTTTTAAACAATTCATGCTAGAATTGAGTATGAAAAAAAAAAGCTATGAAAGTGTATTGCTAGTGATGTTCAGTATGAGGCCCATTAATCACTTTGCATATCTCACTGGTATTCATATTCTTGTTTAATGCTTTACATTTATGCACTGTGTTACTGAAAGGGTAAGTGATACAACATAATTTCTAAACACAACAATGCCAGGATTTGTGAAGCTGCGTCTTAACAGCTGTATCCCAAATTAAAAATGTTTGACTTTACAACTAACCTGAGACAAGTATGAGCAAGCCAGCAGCAAGGTGACCACACTCACAGATGTGAACATTGTGTTAGCCTGTGGATAACTGACTGCAGTAATTACGTATGATCCAGGTCTTATACTTAATTCCAAGTTGTGAAATTGATAATTTCAGAAAGTAGTCTATTATTATTCACACTCACAGAGTTTATCTAAACAATGAATTATGTGACAGCCTTATAATCTGAGGGCTGCAGCTGATATGATGTGAGAAAAATTATTATCATAATATGAAACACTATAGCAGATAAGCAAATGTAAATTGCACCTAAGAATGCTCTTTGAAGATCAATGCCAAGAGCCAATAGAGGCATTACTTCTTATTGGCAAACAGCAGTAAATAAATGGAACATTTTATGCTCCTGTCTATGAGCCCATGCTCAGCAGAGAACTCCTCCCTTTCTGATCAGTCATCTGCACTGATCATATTCAACTGTTTAAACATACAACTATTACATATATAATGGTTACATCCACTTTTCCCTGTAAGTATACACCAATATGCGGCACTGGCACTTTTAATCAAACAGTAAAAAATACCTTATAATTCTTGAACCTAACCTCACAATACAGCAACCTTCCATTTCTAGGGAAAAAACCCCAGTAATTTTACTACAATAACATGGACACAAATGGGGCACACCTGAATGGTGATTGTAGTGAATGGTGTTAGTTGTGCTGTATGGTGTGGACAGTTTGTGGAAATATTTTGTAGGATATCTTCCATCGCACAAGATACATTGAATATTAACGACGTTTCGAGAGTTGATTTTACTCCCGTTTTCAGGTGACTGTCATAAAACTGGTAATTTTTTATAACTTTTCAAATTATTATTGGTGATATTTGGGATGGCCCAGGAATATTTGTTGCTTAACTTTAGGGTGTGTGGGGGTATATGGAACTCACATATACGCTGCGTTGACTATTGAATATTCTGTTGTTCTGATTAGCACCGTCTGTTTCAGTTTTACAAAGGCCCTGTTTTATTCTTTGCGTATGATTTCTACATATTCCACTTCATGTTTCGGTTCTCAACCCGGACAGATTTGCTCAGGGGGCACATGGGCTGCAAGCGGTGTAAAACACCATTAAGTTGGGGGGTCCACCCAAGTGCCGAGCTAAATTAAACATTTATGCAAGTATGTATCTCTCAATTTCCAAATTTTATACTGCCCCACTTAACGACGCAATTTTAGCTGAAAGAAGGCGTTTGCCCCACAATCATTACACAAATAATTTAAATATATTCCTCGGGTCAGCACTTAGGTGATTACCGATAATTCTTCTCTGGTCAGTGGTCATAATTGGATAGTTCTAGACCGGAGTGCAAACTTGTTCATATTTCAGAGACAGTCGAAATGTTTAACGTACTTACTTACTTTGATACTTTGACGACCCGTTCTTGAAGTGCCTGAGCACTGCGGGTCCCAACTTTTCGTTGGTTTTGATCTATAGACATTTTGGTAGGACTCCTTGGACGAGGGATCGGCCCGTCGCAAGGCCTCTACCTGTACACAGGACAGCACAAAAAAGAAAACGCGGACAAACATCCAGAGTCCCAGTAACCAAGCGGCACAAGGCCCACGCCTCAGACCGCGCGGCCACTGTGACCCCCAACGTTTAACCTAACCACTACAAAAGAAAGAAAAAGAAGTAAAAGGGGAAGAAAGAAATGCGTTAAAATTTACCAAAAGTAGATTGGATTCTTAAGATTGATGTCTTCTGGGTTATTGCGCTGTGTAGTCTGGTAGATTTCCATCAACGTTTCAGAGGTCATACTGCCTCCGTCATCAGGGCGATGAATGCGCCAATGACAGACTACACGGCACGTTAACCCAGAAGACATCAATCTTCAGACTTACCGCTGTAAAAACATTAAATCCTACATAGATTAGATTCTTCTTTGAGTGATGCAGATAAAAGTGAAGAAGCAGTTATTCAGGTAATAGCAATGGCTTAGCATTGAGGGGCAAAGCTTTCATGGTACCCGTGTTAGCACGTCTATCACTCAGAAAAAAACTAAAAATAAGAAGTCTTCTGCCTTACTTTTGTGGTTCAGTGGTGCACTGGGGCAGCAAGCCCGAACGGATAAAATTCTCCAGCTAGCCAGGTGCTGTTGGACGGCTACGCTCACAACAAGCTTTAGCCACAAGCAGCTAGCTAACAACAAATGGCTGAAAGGAGCTTGCAACCAGTACCTGTTATCTAATTGATTCTGCTGTGTTCCATGCACAAGAATATGTCCTTTGCTTGTAAAATCCTTATAACAACATATGTGTATTGTGTTTTTTTATATATTCCACGTCCTGTTGTCACCTGAGTAAAGATATAGTGGGTGTGTTCATGTATGTATGAATGCACGCACGTATATACGTATGCATGCTTATATCAGATGGTAAGCATTCATTAGCCCTGCTTCAATGCGTACAATAATGCCCACTCTTTGCAGAAGGATGCAGGGTATCTATCTGCATAGAACATAAGGTCTTCTTAAGTAATTTTCGTCAGAAATCAGCAGGGCCCTTTTAAAAGCAACTGAATTCTAGGTACAACATAAGACATTTCAAAAGTAAAATATTTCAACATTTCAAAGGACTTCCATTTTACCTTGAAATCAAAGCATAATATCTTGCATTTCGTTAAGTTTTTATTTTAAAATACTATTGGACTTGAAAATGAAACAGTTAATTGAACTAAGAAAAAGGATTCAATTTGAATAAATGCAGTGGTGAAGTTCATGAGGATGCACCAGATATGAACGTCATATATCCGGCAGTCCTCCAAATTAAAGTAGCTAAAACAGAATTGGCTTCTAGTTCAGAGATTACTGGGAAAGTAACAAACAAACGATTATATCGTACTCGATGGTCCTCTGGTCATGTTGGCAGTTGTTACTTTAAGATTCCAGCATTCTTAGTGATAATAATCATGGTTAGAGTGGAATGTATGTAAACTGGATTCCAATTTACTTCACTTTCTTTTTAAATAAAATGATAAGGATGGTGATAAGATAATTAATGAAACGTATGTTAAAAATATACTATATCGAGATCAGTAATTACTTGTGGGTTCTTGTTGGAACTGGATTCATGAATCACTCATTTTCATCATAAATTATTATTCTTGAACCAATGCTCTTTTTGACAA